TGTGTGTGTGTGTGTGGGGACCAGCCCCAAGGTTTATGATTTAACTCATTACAGTGTTTCAATCCACCTAATAAACCAGAATTTTAAGGATCCCGAGTTGGACATTTGTAGCCAACACATGCAACAGGATGTTACAGCCCATAAGGCCAGGCCTCTTTCCCATATCAGGGGACATCACCACAGCTGGTGAGCAATATCCCAAAAGTGAGGGGTGTCCCAGGGAATGAGATGTTTGAGCATTGCTCCATGATGAGTAACTACCTGGGAACACTGAGGCCAACTCCAGCTGGGTTCTTCACAATGACTCCTGCTGAGATAGAGGAGTAAACTGAATCCTTTGGGATGGCATCTCAGAGGGGCACAAGACAGGAAGGGACTACTCATAACATTGTGTCTATTCTGTAGCATTTTTAGGTTGTTCTTTGTTGATCCTAATTGGTCAGATGGTTTCCATTGCAGCTTCTGAGATGGTCTGGGAGATCAGCCGGGCACCATGTCCCATTACAACCACTCCAACCCCTCCACCTTCATCCTGAAGGGCATCCCTGGGCTGGAGACCAGCCACTTCTGGATCGCCTTTCCATTCTGCATCATGTACTGCATAGCACTGCTGGGGAATCTCACCATCCTCCTGGTCATCAAGTCTGAGCCCAGCTTGCATTTGCCCATGTATTACTTTCTTTGCATGTTGGCCATCATTGACATGGTCCTCACTACCACAACTGTGCCCAAGGCCCTGAGTATCTTCTGGTTCCATTCCCATGAAATCTGCTTCCACTGCTGCATGGTTCAGATATTCTTCATCCATGGCTTCTCCATCCTTGAGTCCGGGGCGCTGCTGGCCATGGCTTTTGACCGCTACGTGGCCATCTGCAAGCCCTTGCACTACACTACCATCTTGACTAACCCAGTCATTGCCAAGATTGGATTGGCCATCCTTGTGCGTGGCATTGGGATGATGACCCCCTTGATGTGCATGTTGGGCAACTTGCACTTTTGTGGGACAAACATTGTCAGCCACTCCTATTGTGAGCACATGGCAGTGGCAAAGCTGGCATGTGGCTACATCATAACCAACAACATCTATGGCTTAACAGTTGCCATTGTTGTTGTGTTCTCAGACTGCATGTTCATCATCATTTCCTACGTCCTGATCCTGAGGGTTGTTATGGGTCTGTCTTCCAAGCAGGCACTGCTGAAGTCCTTTGGCACTTGTGGCTCCCACATCTGCATCATCCTGATGTTCTATACCCCAGCGCTGTTCTCTTTTTATGCCGAACGCTGGGGTCAGCACATTCCCATCCACCTCCACATCCTGATAGCAGACCTCTACCTGCTGGTGCCACCCATGCTCAACCCCATTATCTACGGGATGAAAACCAAGCAGATCAGGGAGCGGGTGCTCAGGCTGTTCTGTCAAAAGGGAACATAGGCCAGGTCCTGATCCCAGCTCAGGCTTCACGCCAAACTCCTCATTCATTCTGAGGCTTGGCAAAGCTGAAGAAATTTGACTAAAGCAGAAGGGCTGAAAGCCTGTTTCTGAATGACCTGTACTGAACTGTGTCTAGACAGGACAACCAGCCTGGTCAAAAGGGACAGGAAGCAATCAACATGCCCAGTTAAGCAGAGATGCACAATTAAACAGAGCACAAGGTCTGAAAAGAGACATTATAAAAGAAGGCCTTAAAATAGATCTGCCAAACATATTGTATCCTACCTTTAGCTTAAATATATTAATAACTAGCAAAATACCCATCCTGAATGATGGGGAGGGGGGTGGGGGTGGGTACAGAGACCAGCATCTGGCCCCGCACCCTAGCCCCACCACTCCAGGTCCATCCCCATACTCCTTCCCGCAACTCTGGGTCCTACCCTGCTTTCCTCTCTGCCACCACTCTGGGTTGTGCTCTGCTCCACTCCCCCTCCCTGCTGTTCCACACGTGAGGGAGTGTGGCGCACAGTTGTGCAGGGTAGTGTGGAGCTGCAGGGCAGCTGACTAGATCTTTCAGCAGCCCATTTACACAGTTCATAATGAGGGACTGATAAAGCATTTATGTGACTTGGTGTGTATTTGCTGGACCACTCTAAATTCGTTCTGCTCTTCCTTACCAGGGAGGTCCCAAAGGGTCATGATGTGGGGGGTGCTTTTTTTTCCTTGGAACATTCCCTGTGGTGTTGGGATCCCCCTTTCTGCTCTCCCCACTGCATTATAGCCTTGCCATTTCAAGGTTCCAGTCTGGTGCAGGGGCTGGGACTGGCCCCTATGCAGTGCAGGAGCTGGGACTGACTCCAGTGTTGTTCTCGGGTCAGTCCCACCTCCCGCACCACTCAGTCACCTTGCACTGACTTTGGAGCCATCCCAGGGCTATGAAATAGAATCAACAGATTTTTTATTTCAGCCCTGAGACTGCATCTGAGTCTTGAACCAGCTCTGGTGGGATCTCAGGCCTGAGACCTAAAAATAGTTGATTTTTGGTCTTAGCCCTGGAGCTGGTTCAAGACTCCAAAGTGGTACTACAGTCCATGCATAGATTGTAGTAAGCATTAACATGTCACTGGTGAGAAGAATGCTTCCTACAGTCTAAATGTAACACGTACTAATGTAAGGTGCAACAAGACTCTCTATTTTTGCATAAGGTACATGCAGATCTCTGGTTCCTGGCTGATTCTTTCTGAATAATTTAAGTGATTACAGAACCAGTCCCACAAGCCCTTCCCCCTCCAAGGAGAGTTGATAATGTTCCATGCATGAAAATATCTGCATCATGTGTTTTCATGAAATAATAAGTCTTATAAAGATTCCTCCTAGACAGGAATACTTTCTTTTCCCACTCTAGGCAGCTATTTCAAGCTGCCAGTTTCAAGGCATATCAGATAGAGAAAAGGATCTCCAATTACTCTCTGATTCATCCTTTTCACTTCCATTCTGAGCTGTACTGTGATACCCTGAATAATTAACAGTATTAAGGCATGTTGATAATGGCAATGGATGCAGTAGAGGGAGGTGGTGAAGATCATAAGTTTTACTCACAGCAAACAAGAGGGCCCGACACCTCAGATCATGGAAGCCTCAAGACAAAGATGACGAGTGAGGTTTTTACAGCCCTGGGATTGAAATTCAGCTGATGCACTAAAGTTTTCAAAAGATCCAAGCCTGAATTCAAACTGGTTCTTTAAACACAAAAATGTTTATGTGCGGGCCGGGAGGGATCCACGGCCCTTTTGCGCACACGGGCTGTGGCCAGCAGCCCGGGCACGCGGGGTCGGAGAGAACGGGCGACACGCTAGGATTAGTGACGGACGCGTAATGGTTGATTTAAAGATTATTTACTTACACCGAAGATGGTCGCGGTGTAGGCTGGACAGTTTTCCAGGCACAGCTCCGATTAAATCCTCGTTTGAGGACTACAACAAGCTCGCTCTCTCCCACAGAGTTGTTGAAGCTCCGTGGGTCCGTTTCTTTTGCGCCACTACAAACTTGCTCGCTCCGTGGGTCCGTTTCTTTTGCGCGCAGGAAGGGATACGTCTAGGAATTAATCGGCGACGGGGAGAGGCTAGAGGCTGATCAGACCTCTGTTGCCTGCTTGAAATACGCTGGGTCCAATAGGCTCCACAGCGCTTAGAGATCTTCACACAGCGTGAAGTCTCCTCCTCCTGGTGTTCGTGGAGTCCTCCCTTGCGGGGGTTCTCCAAGTTCCCCAAGTTCTCCAACTTGGGCGGAAACCATCCAAGCCTTTTATACGGCTAGCAAGCCAATCACTAGCCGCCACGTGTGCATAATTTCATGCAAGCCAATAATGGGGCTCGAATTAGAATACAAATGGCGGGAACTCTTTGCAACGAGCATTTCTCAGATGCAAAAGAAATGCACACTGCAAAGAAAGCTACAAATTGGCAGGAAAATAATTTAGCAGTGCCAAAGCACACACAAAACAAAAATCACAACTTTGGGTTGTGACAGTTTAAACTTTGGTCATCTAAGCAGAGTTTGGGCATCAAAGAGGGTTTGAAATAGGACCTGCACTAGCAGATGAAACAGTCATGATGGGCCTTTGGACTGCAAAGTCCCCTAGGGATCTACATGAAAGGGGGTTAAACAGAGGGTCCATATGATATGGGGGTATGAGTGCCGGGGGAAGGGGGATGTTCCCATGAGAGGAGGGCACGTAGTGCAGTGTGTGGCTGGCACAACATGCAGCCTGGGGGTGTACAGCCCACGGTGTAGACAGCCCTAGTCTAAGGTCAAATGTTTAAACCATCTTAGCAACAGAGACTAGGACATTTCGCCTATGGAATAGTTGGTGATCAGGGTACTCTCCTGGGTTGTGGGAAATGTAGGTTCCAATTTCCTCAGTTTCAGGAGAGTTGATAACCCAGTTCTCCCATCTCTCAGGAAAGTCCTGAAACTCCTAGTCCCACAACTACCCTGAACTTCTGCTTACAAATGCTTTGGCATCTACCCTCAAAAATGGGATGGAAGTGTTGTGAATCATTAGTGAGGAGAGACACCTGTGGTGAGTTTCTTAAGACACTCAGTGACTGAAAAGCACATTTCCCAAATGTCAGCATTCAAGTTTGAAAGTCAGTCCCAAGCTCTTCAGCACTGCCATTATACTGAGGATCACTGACATAATAAATAATGGGCTTGACCACAGAGCAGGAGTTTCCTCAACTTCCAAAGTTTGTGCTTTAATCATTTATTAAATGTTGCAACTTGTGGAAAAGTTCAAACCATGTCCCACATTATTGACTTGTGTCCATTTACAGTGATACTTGATGGCTGTCAAGCTCTTCATACTGGTGATGACATTGCCTTAAGATGGCTGAAACATGTCGCCGCCGAGAGCCGCGGCACGGGGTTCGGGGCTTTAGGAGCCCTAATCGGTGGGCGGGTACTTGTGATGCTTGGAGTGGAATCAGGTGCTCAAGCGTTTGGATTGAACAAAAGATTGTTTACTTACACTGCTCGTACAGTGCAGGTCAGAAACTTGCTTCGATTACAGTTGTAAAACTTGGGTCGGGCAGAAATTACAAAGTTGGTTTGGTCGGTCTGCAAATGTGTCAGGGTGTTCGGGGTATTCGGGCCGGCAGTCGTCTTACGTCTCAGGTGGGGGTGTGCTAGGCCCCCTTGGGTCAGTGACGGGGAGTCCTTAGTGGTTGATCAGGCTGCTAAGTTCGCTCTGAAACACGCGTGGAGTTTGCTAGGCTCCACAGTGTACTCAGAGTTCTCCACGAGGTGTGTGTGGAGTTCTCCAACTTGGGCGGAAACTGCTCAAGCTTTTTATAAGGCTAGCAAGCCAATCGCTAGCTGCCACGTGTCCATAATTTCACGCAAGCCAATAATGGGGCTCGAATTAGAATACAAATGGCGGGAACTCTTTGCACCGAGCATTTCTTAGATGCAAAAGAAAGGCACCGTGCAAAGAAGCTGCAAATTGGCGGGAACTTTTTCTAGGTCATTAATATATAGTCACTGGGCACTGGAGTTTTCCCCTCGTGACCTAATTACATGACCTACTTACAGAATGATTGACAGACTGCCTTCTGTAATCCTCCACTGTACTATAGGCATATGAACAATGGGTTCTGACAAAACAATATGCCAAAACCGCATATACTAACTAAATAAAATAATTTATTCACCATTCCTCCCACAATTGTGCAATTGTGTATATTTAGTATTGCAAAATTTAAAAAAAATATATATATGTGTAATACTGAAATATTATTACATGTATAAAGAAGAGGAAGAGAAAAAATACAGACAGTCAAGGAAAAGAAAAATCAACTTGAAACACAGTGATATTAGTAAGGAAGGAGGAGAGTGTCAACCTGTTACTATGACTTACAGTAATCTCAGATTCTTTAACAATAACCTTAACGAGCATAGAAGAGATCGTCAATGTTCTTCTAGAGTCTGCCTGAGGTTAACTTGATGGCTCAAATAAAGTTATGAGGTATGGTTGCAAGATCAAATAAACATTTAGGACCAGGTTTCATGCTGACTCTAGCTGAAGTCAGGAGGAACCAAGCTGGGCAGAAGTTCAAATAGAGAAAGGTAGATGTCTGGGTAGATGTTGATGGAGAGAGGGATGGACACCAGGTGAGTACAGTTTAGCTTCCAAGAGGGTAACAGTCTTCTCTCAAGTGCTACATGGAAGAAGACAAGTTTCTTTGGGTAGATGTTATATCTTTTAGTAGACCAACTAAATCATTGGAAAAATTGGTCTTTCAAGCTCTTGGGCACAAACACCCTTCTTCAGGGTTTGTGCCTGAAGGCTTACAAAGGCCAATTTTTCCATCAACTTAGTTGGTCAAATAAAAGATATCACTTCTACCCAAAGAACCTTGTCTGCCTATGCTTTTAGATTAACACAGCTACACCCAACAACCCTAAAACTTCTGTAGTCATACCAGAGGCACCACTAAGGAAGAGCAAGGGGTTTGGCATTCAGAGCGAGCTTCAATCAGGACCCAGTCTCAAATCTCTTTCAACAGAACAGCCTGGGCACATGCTCCCAAATCTGCTTGGTTTTCATCCCATAGATGATGGGGTTGAGCATAGGTGGTACCAGCAGGTAGAGGTCCGCCAGCAGGATATGGAGGTGGGTAGGGATGTGCTGGCCCCAACGCTGCGTGTAGAAGGAGAAGAGTCCTGGGATGAAGAAGACCAGGATGACACAGACATGGGAACCACAGGTGCCAAAGGACTTCAGCCGTGCCTCCTTGGAGGAAAGGCTCATGACGGCCCTCAGGATCAGGATGTAGGAAACTGTGATGAAGATGGAGTCTGAGCCCACCACAAACGTAGCAGCTGTGATGCCGTAGATGTTGTTAGGTGTGGTGTCACCACATGCCAGCTTCACCACTGCCATGTGCTCGCAGTAGGAGTGGAAGATGATGTTGCTCCTGCAGTAATACAGACTGCTCACCAAGCATGTCAGGGGGGTCATCAGGCCGATGCCACGCACAACAGCAGCCAACCCAATCTTGGCAATGACTGAGTTGGTCAACATGTTGGTGTAGTGCAAGGGCTTGCAGATAGCCACATAGCGGTCAAAAGCCATGGCCAAGAGCACCCCAGACTCCACGGCGGAGAAGCCATGGATGAAGAACATCTGGATCACGCAGCAGTGGAAGCAGATCCTATGGGATTGGAACCAGAAGATGCTCAGGATCTTGGGCACGGTGGCGGTGGTGAGGACCAGGTCAATGCCAGCCAGCATGCAGAGAAAGTAGTACATTGGCAGGTGCAGGCTGGGCTCAGACTTGATGACCAGGAGGATGGTGAGATTCCCCAGCAGTGCTATGCAGTACATGATGCAGAATGGGAAGGCGATCCAGAAGTGGCTGGCCTCCAGCCCGGGGATGCCCTTCAGGATGAAGGTGGAGGGGTTGGAGTGGTTGTAATGGGACATGGTGCCTGGTTGGTCTCCTGCACCATGTCAGAGGCTGCAATGGAAACAACACGGCCAGTTAGGGCCACCAGTCAGTGGGACATGTGTGAGCAGTTGAAGGGGACAACTTTCTAGGTTCTTTGGGTGAAGAGTTGCTTTCCTCTGCCCAGTCCACTGCCCTGCTTTCTGCTCCCTACTCTGTGATCCCTGAATGATCTCCTCAGCTTTCTGCTTCCTGCCCTTTATGCTGCTGGGCTGCCTCTTCTTTCCTAGATCTGCCACGTGGCGCACACAGAGGATTCTTGTGCCATTTGGGGTACCCATGCTGCCCGTTGGCCACCCCTGCTTTAGGAGATGAGGATAGTGCAGCACAGGTTGCCTATGGAGACCATGGGCTCTCCATCATTGGAGGACATAACAAAAAAGTCACATAAGCATCGATCAGGAACAGTTTGGAGCGATCTGAGCCTGCAGGGCCACGGCAAAAATCCATCCTATCCCTCTCAACCCTCTGGTTTCAGTCACTGCCCAGTGCCAGGCTAGGATTGGAAAGCTTCACGCTTAACCCTGGTCTCTGCTATCTGCACATTCTGCCTAGGAGGCAGTCAGCTTTGCTCCTTGTTCTGTGCTTTGCAGCTGCAGCCCCCAGCCTTACAGAAGCAGGGCATGAAATGCATGCACCGGGACACGGATGTCAGTCCTTGGGCCAGTGCTTTACTAAAGGTTCTCAATCATTTACATGGCATCTCAGAGAGATCGCTGAATCCTCTTTCCCCTTGTATCCCAACGCATCCCAGCAGCAGCTGCAGCAATTGCTTGCATGGAAATGCAGCAGTAGGAAATATCCATGTTTCCTGCATCCAAATAGGAGATTGGGCCTTTGCAGTCCATTCTGACCCTGGGATTAGAATCATGGAAAATGAGGGCTGGAAAGGACCTCAGGAGCTCACATCTAGTCCAACCCCCTGCTCAAAGCAGGACCAGCCTCAACTGCACCATCCCAGCCAAGGCTTTGTTGAGCTGGGTCTTCAAAACCTCTAAGGGTGAAGATTTCACAACCTTTATGGATAGTCTGTTCCAGTGCTTTACTACCCTTCTTGTGAGAAAGTTTTTCCTAATATTCAATTTTGGAACTATGCTTCAGAGAGTTGAAGGCTGCTATCAAATCCCCGCTCAGTCTTATCTTCTCCAAGCTAAATCAGCCCAGTTCCCTCAGCCTTTCCTCACAAGTCATATGCATCACCCCCCAAACCATTTTCATTACCCTCCACTGGACTCTCCCAAGTTTTCCATAAATTGGAGAAACTATCATAGCTCTTTCAGTCCCATTGCTAAATCAAACACCACTTATCCAGTTTGGAGTCTTTAAGACCCATATGTAGCTAATTGCATCTCAGAATTTTTCTTGTAATTGCAATTTCTTTTTGTACACAGCAAGCTGAAGGTTTTAAAATGTCCCTAGAAAATGACCTGAATAGATTGATAGATATGAAGGGCAGAACGAACCTCAGTAGGTCATTGGGTCTGACTCCTTGCTCTGGGCAGGAAAGAGCACTGCGGTCAGATGACCCCAGCTAGATGCTTGTCCAGTCTCCTCTTGAAGACCCCCAGGGTACGGGAGAGCACCACCTCCCTTGGAAGCCTATTCCAGATTCTGCTAACCCTCACTGTAAATAAGTTCTTTCTAATGTCTAACCTAAATCTGCTGTCTGTCAGTGTGTGGCCATTGTTCCTAGTAAATACAGCATCTCCTATTCCCTGCTGCCCTCCCCTGATGAATTTATAGGCAGCCACAAGATCACCTCTCAGCCTTCTCTTGAGGAGGCTGAAGTGATGTAGGTCCCTCACGTTCTCCATGTAGGGCCTTACCTGCAGGCCTCTGACCATAGGAGTGGCCTTCTTAGAACCCTCCCAAGATTCTCTGCATCCTTCTTCAAGTGTGGCACCCAAAACTGGATGCAAACCTGATCTCTACAATGAATATGCTCACGATGTGCTTTCCAAACACAAGAGCGCATTGTGTTCCAAAGCTTGTCTAACGTCTCTTCCAACTAGATGTCTGTCCCCAAAAATAGATCACCCAAACCCTCCTTGCTTCTTGTGTTTCCTCAATCACCACATAGACAACAACACTGCATGCTGGTACCAGAAAAATGAAAGCTGTTTGGTAACAAATAAAGGGCCATCGAACCCAGGGCAAGCGGGGCTGCAGTGTTTGACCAACAGTGGCAGAACAAGGATTGAACCTCAGCTGAAGTGCATCAGAGTTGAGTTTTCCCCTCTCTGGCTCTTGTCAGCATCTGCCTTGATGCTGTGGCCTAGGGTGCAATGTCTTTCAGTGTGCTTAGAGCACTGATGTGATACCTTGACCTAGCAAGTATAGCCAGCCATATGTATCAATGCTACTAATCTGCCTTCAGAGATGGGGAAGGGAGACAATGGGTGTCTACACATTCATTAATGCACTCTAGGAAATGCACATTAGATCTAGTACCTCCATTGTGAGGTACTAGAAAAATGTATATTAGCCTATTTTAATACTCATGTAATGCACATTAAAACAGGCTAATGCACATTAAAGTGGATGTGCAGATGTGCCATTTACATTAATATTACATCCAGGCTGGCTCTGTTGATGTAGGTGGTATTATTTATATTTACACCATTTTGACAGAGAACAAGATTTGTCTCAAAGTTTCCCGCCTTTACAAATCCTATATCAACAGAACTTCAGGTTAAATTAAATATGTTCCACCCCAACTCACCTGGAGCCTACAGGTGTGACCTTGGCTGGGTTGTCTTTGCCTTCCGTAAATGCTGTGATCACATACAAACTGGAGGACTGTTTAGTTTACCAGGACCGACTGGGTGGAAGTGTTTATATATGTTAAGGAATCCCCCAGAGTTTATGGGCCTTGTGCTCAGTCGGGACTTCAGGAACTGCAATAATTGCACAGGACAATCTTTTATCCAGCCTCGGGAATACCCATGAATAGTAAATCTAGCCATTCCTTGTTATAGATGCCTGCATTAATTTTTTTTTGATATTTTGTGTACAAGGTGAATCAGAATCTGGACAAAGTGTGCAAATACCCCATGAGGCATGTCTATATGGCAGGGTTTGCACACCTAAGGAACAAATGTGCAAAAGTGCACACACCCCACTGAAAACTTGTCTCTATATAGGATGGGTGTATTAGGTGGGTTATATGCAGTAGAGACAAGGAGGTACTAATACCACGGTACTAGATATGGGCAAAATCATGTCTGCAATTCTGTGTCTAGTTTTGGTCACCAGTGAACAAAGAAGATGAACTTAAAGTGGAAAGAGCTCAGTGAAGGGTCACTAACATGGTTAAGGGAGTGAGATCTTTTCTCATGAAAGAGGTAAAAGGAGCCTGGGTGGGTTAGTTTAGCAAAGCACAATTTGAGAGGGGGTGTGGCGGGCCAGTAGGGGGTGCTCCTGCACCAAGATACCCACCTCACTGCACCCCACCAAAAACCCAGCTTCAGATGCCTCCCCAGGGACACCAACTTCTGGTTAACCCCTTCCTGGAGCACACCCACAAGCCTGGGGTACCGCTGCCACCACCTGGATGCAGGCCTTTATCTGGGCCGTGCTGCCCAGGATACACAAGCCCTGCAGACCTTGGGATCTTGGAGTGCTTCTAGTAACCTGAAGTATAGAAAGTAACCTCCCTTAGTCAACTGAGCCAAGAGAATAGAAAAGGCATGCCCAATCCCTCTCATGCAGGTACCACAACGCTTGTTATAGTGAACAGCTTTATTGGGTAGAGAGGGTAGGCAAGGGGAGAAGTACAGGTTAGAGAAGCATCAAAGAATAACCCAGAGAAAACAATATGGCTTGGTAACCTTTTGACACACTTCTGCGTTACAGTAAGCTATATTTCTAGATAAGTTTCAGGTAAGTTGCTCACAAATATCATCCAGAGGCTGATGGAGCTTCCCTTGCAGGCAGGCAGTTCATGGTATGTCAGTGAGTTTCAAGATGCCTCTTCCTCCCTTCCCCCAATATGGAGGGACCCTTAAATAACCTTTCTGACCTCATTCCTTGGACCAACCATAAACCAGTATTCTCACACCATGGCTGACACTGGTTGGTCAGTTTAAAAATGTAAGCACCCTCAGGTGAGAGTTTAGGGTTACACAGGACAGAGTATGAGCAAGTTCTCCCCCCTCCCTCAGGAATTTTCAACCCTCTTACCATGGAGACCAGGTGCCTCCTGCAGCCAGAATCTGTAACCAGAGTGGGAGGTTTGAGGCTGTATCCCTACATCAGCGAGACAGGCAGGCAGAAAAGTTTATTCCTCCGCAGGGGGTATGTTCACTAAATGCAAATATCTACATATGGCAAATTTT